AGAGGCTTAGCATATTTACCTGCTCAAATAAAAGCAAGTATATATGATATTCTATTGAGTAAGTTCAGAAAAATAGAGGTGTTTTTCTCAATCTTTGGCTGAATAGTTTCCAGGAGTTTCAGGCTCTCAGGAATTGCTTTTGGTCAAAAGACTGGCCATTCACAGTGTATTTATAGGGTCAGGCTAGTTTCACTTTCCCATTTTAGAGTTCATATTCAGGCAGGATATGATGATCTTATTCATATGAGTGTGTAATGGAACCAAAGGGAGACTAGGGAAGCTCGGTTTTGCAGAAAGAGCTCTGAAATGTGAGTTCTAGCTGTGATGCTGTGGTAAACTAGCTGTACCTAGTAAATTTGTGAAACATGAACCTCATCAATGAAATGAGATTAGACTAGACCAGTGGTTCTCAACCAGGGTGACATTATGGTTGTCATGACTGGGGAGGTTAGTGCTACTGGCATGTAATGGGCGGAGGCCAAGGAGGTTGTGAAACATCCTACAATGTACAGGACAGTCTTCCCAAACAAAAAAAAAATTATCCTGTCCAAAGTTTTAATAGTGCTGGGGCTGAGAAACCCCTGGACTAGACCATCTCCTGGCTGCCTTCTAGATCCAAGAACGCTATGACCAGTGAAGCTCAATACTGTTCCTACCAGGGGCATTTTAGTTCAACTAACATTAATTAGGTGCCATATTTTTGTTTTAACTAAGAACCTTTCTCTATTTGATATACACAGGAGGTAGGTAAGCCTCTATTTATGGAATCTCCCACAGGCCATAAACTCTGCTCATAATGATAGCCTTGTTTAATAAGGGAACTACATTCTCATTGGCTCTGGATATTTTAGCAAATTGTAGCTTCCTCATCTTTCTAGACCTTTCTTCCTCTTTCTTGTATTTTCCAAATTGTTAGCTTTCAGGGCAATCAACTAAAAGAGAAAATTTTAAAAGTCAGGCAATCTTTATAATAATTAAAATGCATGGTGTTGGATTAAGTCATTCCTGATACTGGACCTTATTATACATCGGCAACAGGAGGGCATTGTACAAAATACTTATGAAGGTCCTTTCTTATTCAAAATTTTGTGTTAATGTATTTAAATATTATTGAAACTCTCCTAATATTTCATATCCTTAGATGATCCAAAAAAAAAAAATGGAAAAAGTAGCAAGAATTACTCAAGTCATAAATTTGGAGATGGAAAGTCTTAACCTATTGTTTAGGTGAAAATTGTGACAAATTGTACCCATTACCATAGAGTTTACTACAACCCTTTTTTTTCCTTTTGGATTGAGCAATTTTGGTTGTGAATCTTTTTTTATTTTGACTTTTCCCTTTCTTTTAAAAATCACTTCCTATTTACTTCTTCTTTATAGAGTATTGAGAAATCATTATAATTTATTATCACTATTTCCCTTTGAATAACTATAACTTTGTTTTGCTTTTCCTTAAACTAAAACTCTGGGAGGAAAGATAATTTCTTTTCGAGATTAAATATATGTATGTGTGTATGTGTGTGTGCGTACGTGTGTGTTTATAGAAAACACATGCACACATATTCGATAGTATTTTTAAGGGTTCTGGTACCTGCTACTTAAATTACTTCTTTTTTTTTGTATTGGCAAACTTGACAGCTATTTTTCTTTTGCAAAATCCTAAGTAGAAAGGCTAAGTTGACAACTTAAAATTTAAACAAAGCTGCTTTTTAAAATGAAAGGGAAGATGCCTTTGCATCTTCCCTTTCATTTCTGGATTTCCAGTTTCTGCATTCTTTAAGTGCAAATGACACTATACTTTGATTTATTTGTTTCATAATCACAAAAGACTTTAGGATAATCCCTGTAAGAAATTTTGGGGATAATTTTTGCTTTTCTATCTTCTTCTGGGAGGTGATGTTAGACTGGGTGACAGGCTCTGTATAAGAAACATAATTTAGTTGCAGAACATCAACCCTTTCACTTAAATTCCTTGTTGAGACAATAATAGTTTCCACGGAACAAAATCTCAAGATATTAAAAACTGTAAGATCATTTTTTCTTAAAATTTTAACACTTCATTAACATGAACAATACGAAAGCTGCAGTTAATGCATCTAAATATATAAATCTTATAACAAGAAGTTTGTAATGGTGTAATATAAAATCTATCTTGTATGTACACAGCGTGCTCCGAATTTCAAAATAGTGAAAGTGGGTTTAAAAAATAAGTTTAAAGACATCTATGCGTTTAGTATCAATAAAGTCAGAATTAGTTCATATTTGTGTGCAGGGTATCTTAGATTTAAAATATTACCCCCAAATAATGAAACCATGGTCAATTCCTATTTGTCCTAACAAAGACAGTGTTTTCTGAAGTAAGTAGTGAATGGCATGCAAGTCAAGAAGAGCACAACAGTTTAATTTTCTACATGTTTTTATAAAGAAGATTCTATCTCCTCACAGTAAGTCAGCGATCTGCGGGGATCAGTCAAGTAACAACTTTTTAAAACAATTTATACTTGGACACTCTCTGCCATTTTGTGAAATAGAATAGTTCTTATGATGAAAGAATCCCTTACTGTTTTAAAATTCAGCCAGTTTCCAAAATTTCCTTTCACTCTCAAAATGACCTCTCTTAGGACTATTTTCCTTCTCCAGATGCACCCAGCAGACACTTCTATTTTGTGGGTCCCATACCAGACTAGACACTGAGAAATTGAGAGTCTTGTCATTTCATCCAGTTTTACTTGGGAATACAGCACATATGTCTTCTCTAACATCTGATTACCCTAATTTATCAGGAATTATTTTAACCACCACCGACTTTACCCCAGGACTCAGCCCACTTGTGATGGTGGAGCATAGGGACCTTTCTCAGTCACACGCTGGGATTTCTAATCTCTTTGCTTCCCTCTATTTCCTCCATCTTCTTATCTCTTGTCTCCTCCCCCAATCTAAGCACACTTTTCATATTCTCACTCTGATTAGTTATGTATTCTTGATGTCCTGGATCCTGGACTTTTGAAACCCAAACCTTTTCTCCATCGAAAGATTACCTCTGCCATGGGTTCCCCAAATCAATTTTGAACCTCAAAATCCAAAAATTGACTCTTTGCTTTCTCTTTGAAATTCTGCCTTAACTGTCACCACCAAAAAATCTTATCCTGAGATATGATTATGAAATTAAGCTTTAGCTGCCTGGATTGGGGAAGGACCACAGAGTATAGGACTATGAGGTTGAAAGAACTAGAGTGTATTCCCTGGCATGTGGTCCTCACAGTGCTATGTACAGCTGTCATTTCCTAACGGATGAGTGTTGCTACTTCTCTCTACACTCATTCTCTTTCCTTCTGCTCTTAGCATTCAACCATGTAACATTTGTGCCAGGCTCTGCAATAGATATGAGTGACTCCATAAGAAAAAAAGAAGATGATCTCTGCCCTCCATGGAGCTTAGAGTCTAGTGGGTTCTAAGTATTCTGAACTTTGGTCTCTATCTCCTTTCTGCGACTCTTAATTTTTAGTTCAAATCAGGATTCAAAATATGAAGCTGTTGCTTTAAGTATGTCTGTTTTTAAAATGCATATGGATTCTTCAAAATTAGGGCTGATAAGCAAGAAGTTATACTATATTCTCAAAATTAAGAGACACTTTATCTTGGCTTGATCTTAATGAAATGTAGATTATTAAAATTTTTGGTAAATTGGGGTTTCTGTGATAGCATCTGTAAAATGTTGATATATCTTGGCTGAAGAAGTCACTCTTTAAGAAATGCATTATAACTGCTCTTGACTTTATGAACAGTGTTGTTTTAAATTAAAACTGTAGCAGAAATGCTATAATTCAGTGTTTAATTGTTATAAACTTCAGGAAGGAAAAGGAAGCTGAAAAGAAGTGCTGCCTTTAAAAAAAGTGTTTTATCAAAGAGGTGGGAAGAAGGGAGTGAGAATGAATTTAAAGGCTTCAATAACTTTACCCAGTGGTGCTCTGCGTTCCCAAAGGCACACTGGGACAGTGGAAGCAAAGAAAAAGTAGATTTTCACCCTTCACTTCCAAACCACACAAAAGGATGTAACTTTAAAATGCCAGGATGCAGAAAAGAGTCTGAGATGTACAGACTTTAATAAAAAGAGCCCATAGTGCCTTAAAATGCCCTTTGGTGTTGCAATGAAAATAGCTTTAGAAATCAGATGGCTGAGTAGAAAGTAGGCTTTTTCGAGAGTGGTGAATGTATCCGATTTGGCTGTAGCATTAATTTTCTGATGTCTCTGTTGATATTTAATGCTGCAGTATCTATAATTCCTTAATAAACAGCTAATTTGTTCACTGCATATTTGCTAATTTCTTTCCAATGAACAAAGATAGTATTTGCTTCATAAATTCTTGTTGTTGAAATTTTGCAGGATATACTGTAATCAATCAAGATAATGAATTCCTTTTAAAATATCAAGCTCCTAAGTAAAGCTTATTTTATTTGGAGAAATTCGTTCTAAGTATTTTTATATTGAAGAAGATAATTCTTAAGTAAGTGAAAAGCACTTTAAAACATTTTCTCAGAAATAACTGTTACATATGTATTGACCCAGCATTTTTGCCCTTACTCACATGTTGATATCCTCTGCAATGCTCTCTCCTATCTCTCCCAATTTCTTCTAGACCCAAGCACAAGCACTTCTTTAACGAAGACTTTCTAACCCCACCCAACCCCTTTGGGGATGAGCTCTCTCCTTCCTTAAACATTTCTCCTCTCAGTACTTTCAAAAACAACAAACTTGGCACTCTTTAGGATACACTGTTTAGTTCTGCAGAAGAGGCCGGAGGTGGGAGATAGACTGGAATTATTGAAAGAGACAAATGATACGCACTGTAAAAGCAGGTATCTTGTGAGGGACCTGAGTATAAGAAGAGGTTTTCTTCTTACTAGTAATGAATTCTGACATAATGTCTATAATATTTAGACTTACTTCCAAGTGAGCTTGATTTTTGTCCTCTAACATTCTCTGCCTTTCTTCTTCCCAGGGTGTGACAATCCCTCACAAGCCTGTTTCTCTCCATCCTTTATATCAGACTAGACTCTATCCTCCTGCTAAGTCCCTGCTGCATCCACAGACCCTCTCACATGCCGACTGTCTCACCCCAGGACCCTTCAGTCATTTGTCCTCCTTCTCACTGACTGATGAACAGGAGAATTCTCATACCCCCTTTAGTCACAACGCATACAATAAGGTGAGAATACTCTGCTGAAATGGGAATTATTCTGTACTGTGAACTTTCTTTATGCTTAATTTTTAAAACTTAAATGTGGAGGAAACAGATATTAAAAATATTTAAATAGATTAAGAATATTAATCTTAATCTATGTGTGGAGGCATATGACCTTACAAAAATAATAATTAACCTTGGGAAATTATTAAATATTTATTTCTCCTTTCAAAGTCATTTCCTGATTTGCATTCTTCACTGTTTCACATTCTAGCTCAGGGTGGAAATCCCAAAAAGTTTTCTAAAACCTTATGAGATACCATTATTAATTTATCTTCTATGCCATTATTTATTTGTCACCCAGTCTTAGTTTACTGTTCTTAAAAAGCTTCTTTAAATTACAATGCCTGAGGAAAAAGCACTTATAATTGTAGTCAATGGGCAAAGAAATACTTAGAATTTTCACAGGTATCTGTAAACATTAACATTTTATTTTAAAATGTGTCTATCTGCCTCATTATACATCGTGATGAAATATATATAAAAGTTATGTGTTCAGTACCTAAAATATATACATATATATTAAGCAAACAAGCAGAAATATTTATAGTTGGCTTTGGAATGCAATCGTAAATGTTCTATTAGAAGCAAGCAGTCAATACCACACAAGGCTTACATGTAAGTGTCCTTTCCGCTTATGAGCATTACTGTAAGGGCATTCTGGCTAGTACAGACTCTCAGACCCTGAAAATTTCCTAAAAGAATTGACTCATCAAAGTCAACCTGCAATTAAATCTTTTTTAAAAATTCAAATCTTGCTTAAAAGCGTTTATTTATCAAATTCTCTATATCTTATGAAATGTACCTCCGTACTTGGAAATCAATCAAGGCCATATGTTCCAAAATGTAGTTCAACAATATTCCTTTGGCCCTGAAACATTTTTTTGAAAAACTGTTCATAAACCCAGTCTAAACACTGACATCTAAAAAGTGAACACAATTACATGAGGAAAAAGTTGCTTTTTATATTTAATAGCATCTATCATAACTGAATGATCAACCCTGAATTAAACTTTTAAAATATCCATTTTCTGCAAAGAAAATGTTTTTTGGGCAAGGTTCGGGATGACATTTTTATGACCTTTGTTTGTTTCCTACTCCTGATTTAGAAAAAGTTATTTCAGAGAAAGTATATTAATTTTAAGGATTTTATATTATTTGTAATTCTTCCTGATTTAATGCTTGCCAACATCTATGAGATGCATTTAGCTATTAAATAGAGTTAATAATTATGATAATAACATACCATTTTTCTTATAAATTGTCATCTATGATTAGGTTATAACTGGATTTTTATAGGTATCGATTGCATTTAATACCTTGTTCTTTCGATATTTTGTTTGATGTTTTCTGGAACTTGTCAGCAAGGATAGAGTCAATATTTCATCCACATTTTAACCTGTGCTCAGTCAGACTGTATAAAAGCCATTTGAGGTTGGACAGCTATTTTCAGTCTATACAATTTTCATAATAGACTTTGTCTTTCAGAGTCTTGAGATTTATTGATATTGAATTAAAAACATTTACATAGGAAATAATAATAGTAATATAAGATAATATTTTTCGATGGAATATTTAATTGCTTAGTCTTATAATCCAATTGTTCCTATTAAAATATATAGATTACCCAATTCGATATCTATGTTTACAAACCTTGTGTTATAAATATTGGGCCAATAGCATCCTAAGTATAAAAACTTGTCTTTTTTACTTGAAATAACTTCTTGTCTGGCATTGTAAAACATAATCTGCCATCTAAATTAACTTTTTTTCAATACCCTGATGTCATCCCCTGATTTTACAACTTTATCTGCTGAGCTCATCTCCAAACTCAGATATTTCCACCATTCCCCCAGGAGAGCCACAATGAACTTAACTATCTTTGATGGTTTCTCATCAACTAGAGCTACAGAAGGTGTTGAACAGGTTTTATTCTCCTGTTAGATCTGTAGTGTACACTCCTCTTGTTTAAACCTTCATCAGACTCTACATGTCCTAAATTGTCCCACTAATCCCTACTTTCTTCTCTTACTTTCAAGATACAGCTGTATCATGTGATGTCATATCATATGTAATGATACTCAGGTACTTCCCTTTTCATCTTAGAATAAAACAGTGTATCCTCTCTTTCCTCCATTCTCATAAGGGGAGTCATTACTCTTTCATTCTTGAAAGTAATATAGCCCAGTGGGTAAGAGTATGATGTCTCTAGTCAGTTTGTCAAAGTTAATTTCCTGACCCCACTCCTTCTAGATGGTTATATTAGATAAGTCATTTAGCTTTCACATGCCTCCATTTAGTGACCTATAAAATGAAGATGATAGTAGTAGTCACTTTATAAGATTATTATGAGATTAAGGTGTACTAATACATGCAAAGCACTCAGAACAGTGCCTGGAACATAACAAGAACCACATAAGTGTTAGGTCTTATTATTAATAAGCCTTCCCAGAATTTTCATTTGTTTTTTTCCATTGGACCCCTTCTCTTTGTGTGCAGAAACCTCAAAAAAAATTTAAACACTTCCTCATTTTTTTCCTTGATGATGCTGCAAACCTAGTAATTTCAAGAATTTCTTTCTCTCAAAGTGATTTATAGCCATTATCTCCATTCCCCTTCTATATACTCTTTAACCTATTCTTTCTTTCACTTCAACCATTCTACTGAAATTGCTATCTAGAGGTAAACTGCTGGTCAGCAAACTCAGCTGAATTTCCTTAGTCCTCTATCTGTTATCCCTTGTAATGTTTGCCATAGTTGATCATAAACTCTTGAATCTTTCTCCTCGCTCTCCTCTTGGGATAATATGTATGTCCCAACTCTCTCACTGTTTCTTATTTGTTTTCTTTGTGGTCATTTTTCCTCCTCTACCTCCTCTCTCTAATGGCCTCATTTTAGATATTTGCCCACTCACAGGTTTCTGTAATTAATCTTAGTACTGATAATTCTCAGATCCACTTCTGTTTCTCCTCTGAGATCCAGTTTTATAACTTCAGCTGCTTGCTTGTCAGTTCCCCCAGGATGTTATGTTATCACCTTAAATTCATCATTCATTTTGCCTCATCATTCTGTTCTGGTTTCCCTACTTCTGTCATTGGTACCGCAATTCTCATTTTCCAAACTCAAAACTTGATTGATCTATTATGATTTTTTTACTTTGAACTTATGACTAGTCATTCACCAAGTTGAATGGATCCTTCTTTTGTTACGTCTGTCATGTTATAATCTCTCAATACTATTTATTATCATTCTCCCCATATAAAATACCTTCCTGCTTTTTCTCCTTAGGCAAACCATTCTTATACTTTCTGACCTAGTCAAATTATTCTTCCTTTGTGAAGTTTCCCCATGCAACAAAATTCAAAGTGGTATTTTTCTCCTTTTAATTTCTATAATACTCGCCTGCACCAAGGTATCTTATGCATATTATAGATTATCTCATCTTTATTTGTTGTGATTGTCTTAGTGTCCATCTAGGATGTGATATGCTTAATAAACTGTTTTTTTCACATTATAGGTATAGCAATAAATATGTGTTAATTATGAACAAATCTTAAATGATCCAATTTCTTCAATAAGAGCCCAAGATGCTTGAATATTTACGATTATTTCTATTTTAAGCAGAAACTAAATCTGAGTCAATTTACAGATTTATCAATACATCGAGCACAATTTTAGTCCATTGAGAATCTCCCTTTTTTTTTGAGGGCTGTATCCAATTTCCAGTGAACTTATGGAGTGCCTTGGCATGAGAGCATAGGTGGAGTAGGAGTGTGAAGGCAGGAGGATCTGATTTTTTTCTGCTACATGTGGACTCTGGTATCTTGTCTTGATACATGACCATCAATCTTAGAGTACATTGCTGCATCCTTCTTTCTTCACCTGCACAGCTTGCCCTAGTTGACTGTAGGTTAGCTACTTCTGAGCCTCTATAGCATGCATGGGAAAACATTCTCACCTGCATACTGGGAGCAGATAAACTTTGTGAGGGTACCTACAAACCATCAGCTTGGATACCCTATATATCCTTCTCTAATCGTTTGTTCCTACCCCCTTTGCTGTAGGGAACTCAACATGAGTTTATCTGTGAATTTGCTTACTCATTGAAATTTATTTGTGACCTCCAAATCAATACTTGCTTGTACTTTTATGGTCATTTGTGGACATGTGAAGAACAGTGAAAATTTGATTGGCTGGACAGATTCCCAGCTGAAGTTGAACAAGGTGGTGCTCTGCTTTCTTGTTTCAGCTATAATGCTATAAACAACAGTCCTTTTTGTGGTCTATCTAGTGTCATGTGTTTTGAATTTTTGTGCTTGCTGTTGGTGATTTGTTGTTTAAAATGGTGACTAAGCATAGTGCTGAAGTGCTATCTAATGTTTTCTAAGTGCAAGAAGGCTGTAATGTGACTTATAGAGAAAATATATATATCTGGTAAGCTTCCTTTAGGCATGCATTATAGTGTTATTGACTGTCAGTTCAGTGTTGACAAATCAATAACACATATTAAATAAGGTGTCTTTAAACTGAAACACACATAAAGCAAGGTTATGTATGATTGACTGATAAAAATGTAATCAAACTTGTAGGAACATAGTCCTGTATTTCCCCTTGGAGAATTGGTTCAATATTTTCTAATTTCATGTTCTCAGTGAACTTATAGAACATAACTACTGCGAATAATGAGAATCCTTTGTATCTTTGGCTTTCTCTGAGAAGAAGATTCATATATATTAGTAGTTAATTTGGGAATTGGTCTCAGAAATACCAGTTAGGGGTGTGGGAAACTGAGGTGAGGAGGAGAAGGCAACTAATAAAAGATATATCATCAAGCAAGTTACCATCGTGGGTATAACTGGAGCTTGAGTTTACTGAGTAATTCTGGCAGCTAATGTGGAACATACAACTCAGAGTTAGGCAATCTGAAGTGGGGGATGGGAATTCTGTTAGTCTTTGCTCAAGGG